CCTGCAAAAAAGACCTGCCAATCCCATATCATCCAGCGGGGGAGTAGAAATACTGCTAGTTACTTCATGCTACAGGAATCGGGATAAGCTTTGGCTTGATGGGCCACTTGGTTCACATGCAGACTTAATGGCAGTTACCCGTAAATTTTAATACTTTTTCGGGGGTGGGAGGAGGTGAGAGGCAGTATTTACTGCTGTTAAGAGATAGTAACTTTTAGGACTGTAGGAAGTAAATGATTAGTTGGTGGAATGCAAGGTGTGCAGTCATATTCATTACATATGTCATATCTAACGACCCCATCTCTGCATATTCAATAGTAACGTATGATTTCTTTGTAACTTTGAAGTGGAAATCCTGCTCGTTACCAAAGCCGAGGAGTTGTTCGCATGAACAGGGATGACTCTCAGCCATTTGAAGATCAACGTCTTGGAATCCCAGGGACTGTGACAGAGTCTGAAGCTGACCAGCATCTTAGAGGAATGGTGAAGAATCAGTTAGACACTCATGTTACTTTAGAAAGGTACATGTTGACAAGTTTGGTATACAAACTATACATAATTTATTTGGATCATTTCCTTCAGGGCTATAGTCATAAATAAATAAATAAATTTTAAAACTGCCTATTTTGTAAGAGTCTTGAAATTTTGTCATGAGTTCGTAAATTGGATTAGTAAGCTAGTTACATTTGGAGTTACATACATACGTGTGTACATATGTAGAAGTATCTTTATTTTTTTTAGCATTGTTAACCCTGTAGTGAAAATTTTCTATTTTGTGTAAGATTTTCTTATCTCCTGAAGGACCTTTGTACATTTTGATAACAATCTTAAGGATCTTTATTCAGATTCATATCCTGAAAGATTGGGAAGGGTATTGCGAACAATTTTTAGGTCTATAAAATTCAGGTAACAATTCTCGAGGCTCTGTTTCTTACAGGTCTTTCAAGTTCCTACAAACATCCTTAAGTCATCTTTGTAGGGATGTTTTTTTTAAAGGATCTTTGCAGGGACCTGAGTATAGGATACGTATTGAAGGATCCTTTTTATTGGACCCTTAAGAAGTTTTTCACCAGGATATTTACATTATGTATTAGCATCACTTGTAAACAAGGTAATCTGGTGAGGTTAAAACTTTTCACTTTCTTAAGAGGATTTCACTGTTAGGGGGTATTACTGTTAAGGGATTTTCATTGTTAAAAGGATTTTACTGTTAGGGGATTTCATTGTTAGGGGATGTTACTGTTAGGGGGTTTTCACTGTTGGTGGATTTTTGGGGGTTTCACTGTTGTAGATCTTGCTGTTGTAAGCCATTGTTACCTACATTTTTATAATGTTCTCCAAAATGTTTCCTTTCTTTAGTGAGTTGAACCGAAAGAAGTCATTTCAATCATCATCTTCTTATGCACCATTTTGTCCTGATAAAACGGGTGCTTTGAGCTTAAAAGATTACCAGTCACTGCAGAGTCATGAGCAGTATGTACAAACTCTTAAAGAGTGTGGCTTCAACCAAGATGAAATCCAGTTCAAACTTGAACAGGAGGGTTATGTGCCAAAGGTGAGTTTGGTTTGTCCAGTGGAAAGTAACAGATCAGGCCTGCAACCATAGCCTGCAAGGTAGACGTTCTATGAGGGTGAGGGAGGGGGGGAAGTCAATTTTGAATGCGAAGCACAAGAGGGTGTATAAAATATGCAAATTATAGAACTGATGACATTATACATGTACATATCCCAATATTGTAACAATTAGCAGCAGTAGTTTTACAGTAGTTATGGTTAGTTTTATAGGTTTTCAGGTAACACATTTACAGAAAACTTAGAAGTGCTCTATTGCATTGGTACTGATTTGCTTTTCGTTGATATTTTAGGCACCAAAACGAGGTCGCTATGGAATTAACCCTGTTGCTGAGCAAGAGAAAGTGAATGATCTTGAAAAAAGAATTCAAATGCGAGAAGAGGCTCTGTCCTCTCCAGATTTGTATTCTAATGTGCGGGTTCTGAGCAGGCATGCACTAGAGGTGGAACAGTCACTTCAGAAAGGCACAGAGAAAGCCAACAGTTTAAGCCATTTAGTGCAACCAAGAAAACAAGGTACTGTATTCCTTTCTATATCTAAAATAATCTTCAAATAATGTGCCACTGAGTTTTGCATAAAATCTGACATGTGCCATAAATTCTGAGTAGTCCAGCACCTCTTCCAGACCTGTATTTTCATTCTAAACTCCTTTTCATTGCCATTTGCCCTTATGTAATTCTCAAGACTCTGTCCCTATTCCTTTATCTGCAGTCCATAGTATCTACAGTTTCAGCATTATATCACTTTCCTTGTAGCCGTTCCTGTGAATGATCCACTCTTGCAAACTCTGCTGGAAGCAGATAGAATATTATCAAAATCAAAACAGGGACTCGCTTCTTCTAACAGCCAAGAGACACCCAAGCACAATATCAGTCAACATCCCTCGAAAATAACTGACGATTCCAGCCAAGATTTTTTGGACAAAGGAGAACCATTTGAAAACAGTGTCGCTGAAAGTAGTTCAGCCTACAGGGAGAGTGGAGTTTCCAGCTTGCCGGCTAGCATTGTGCCTATTGACAAAAAGGAAATAATTCAAAATAGACTGTCGCTGGAACAAATCAAGGAAATTCCAAAGTTTGCAGACTATAATCCAGGAGAGCCGAACAAGGTTAGTTTGCATTGAAGGAAAAGAAGTATCAAATGCCCTCTTTCTCCCATACCCCGACTGTGGTACGTCATAAAATGTGAAAAAGTATAAATGTATAGAAAAACATAAATATATAGAAAAACCCGACACTCTTACATGTAAGTTTAACAAACATGTTTCGACAGAAGTATGGTGTGCGGTAGCGGTACCGCACACTTAATTCAGGCCCCATACATGTACACACTACGCCGAAGAAATTTGACAACGCAGCCTTATTTCTACGGTTAGGCCTACCGTCCACACTAATCCGGAGAAATTGCCCACCGAAAACAGAGCTTTACGAAAACGCTCTTCAAACTGGAGGAATCTGAAAAACGCCGGTCTTGCGTTTTAGCGTGGACGGAAAACATTTTGAAAACGGAGCTTTTTGAAAGCGATGACATCACGAAAATCATGTGATTAACTCTAACCCTCAAGATTGCACTCAAGCGTTTCTACCGCCTGTGATTGTCGCATTTGCAAATTCCTCCGCCGTAGTGTGGACGGAAAACATTTGATGCGTTTTCAAATATTTCGCCGTAGTGCGGACGAGGCCTCACACTGAAGCTGGGAGATGCATCCGCCGAAACATGTTTGTTAAACTGAAGAGTGTCGTGTTTTTCTTTAAATTGCTATTTCCAAGAAAAATAAATAAATAAAGGAAAACGTTTGATTATGTTTGATTCCATTCAGGTCCTTTTTATCAAGAATCTTCATCACAAGGTAACAGAGGCAGACCTAGTCTCTCTCTTCTTAGGATTCCAGGAGAAACTGGGACCTAAAATTACCTTCAGGTTAATGAAAGGAAAGATGAATGGACAAGCTTTTGTTACTATGCCAGGTTGGTTTTATCAGGTTTAGTGGCTATAAGCATTGTAAGAAAAAAAAATTATTCGTACATGAAAACGCTTTGACCTAGTTCGAATCAAACAACCATCAGAACGATTCTAGTAGCTGCAATGTGATTGGCTGAGCTATAGCACAGTATCAAACATTAGTAGAATTCTGCTTGAACACTAAAGCAACTGCTGCAATCTGATTGGCTCAGTGATCGTACATTATCAGCCATTTGTGTTCAGTGCCTGGAGGTCGTCTGAAATAGCGTTTTTTTTTTTTTACAAAGTTTTGGAGGAACATTTTGATGCAAATGATAATTAAAGTCCTAAGAGGACTAAAAGAATGATGTTCACGGTTTCCTGACTGTAAAAAAACTTAGAAATTATTGAGAATTAAAATTATTGACGCAGCAACAACTGCAGTTCCAAATGACAATTCAAACCGAGTGATCTTTAATAATACGTCGAGAAATACGGAAAACATTATTTGAAGTAAATTTCAGTTAGAANACCCCTGTCTCATCAACGTAACAACAAAAACAACAACAATGACTTCATTTACAAATTCACCTCGCAGTGAAGCTGGTCAGGACCGCAAAACAAAGACATACCACCGGTGTGTAGCGCACACCAAAGAGCGAGTGATCTTAGCTAGCTCCTGATTGGTTGAAAAAAATAGTATGATTTTTCTGATTGGTTGAAGCGTGTTGTGGAAGGTTTTTTAAATCAATTGGAAAGTTTAGCAAACCGTTGAAATAATGGAATAATTATTCCTTAAACTACACAGTTAATTGCAAACGTTAGTAACTTTACTAAAGCATAGGTTTAAACCGGAGAAAACTATCTGGCAGAGAAGGGGTTTCTGGAGTTTTAACAACTAAAAGGCAATCAAAGAAGTATTTACACATGAGAGCGGAAAATCTATGGGTTTCATATTGCTATAATTGTTGTAAATTTATTTTGGATCTAAAAGAGATTTTTTCATCACCGGGCGTTGATCTGCCAGGCAAGTATCAGTACTGTGTTGAACAAAACTATCTGGCAGATAAGTGGTTTCTGGAGTTTTAGCAGTGCACAAAAGGCGCCGCGTAAATTAGGAGAAATTCATTCGCTGTTCCATGTGCTGACGAGAAACCAAAAGGTAACCAAAGAAGTATTTTGATTTCTATGAGGTGGTAGTCGATTCGTCCCGCCTCATCAACCTTACAACAAAAACAAGAACAGTGACTTTATTTATAAATTCACCTCATGGAAAATTGAGCCGCAAACAGGACCACAAAACAAAAACATACCACCGATGCTTAGCGTACGCCAGGTAACGAGTGGTCTTAACTAGTTCCTGATTGGTTGAAAAAAATAGCAGGTTTTCTGTGATTGGTTGGAGCGTGCTGTGGAAGTTTTTAATCAATTGAAAAGCTTAGCAAGCGTAGAAATAATGGAATAATTATTCATTTCACTACACAGTTAATTGCAAACAGTAGTAACTTTACTAAAGCGCAGGTTTAAACCGAACAAAACTATCTGGCAGATAAGTGGTTTCTGGAGTTTAGCAGTGTACAATAGGCGACACGTTAATGAGGAGAAATTCAATTGGTGTTCCATGTGCTGACGAGAAACCAAAGGTAACCAAAGAAGTGTTTACACTAGAAAGAAAATCGATGGTTTTCACAGTGCTTTTGTTGTTAATTTATTCGTTTTTGGATCCAAAATAGACTGTTTTCATCACTGTGCGTTGATCTGCCAGGCAAGTATCAGTACTGTGTTGGAAGGTCATTTCAAGATTGCGTTTTCCACTTTTTTTTCTTTGGTGATATCGTTGGTGTATATCGTAGTTTAGTTACGTGTATATGCGCAAGTCAACCGGCAAAATATAACTCAGAAGTGTCGAAGGAAGATCACTTGATAATTCTATACCAAAGACTAAGTAAAGGACATGTATGTAAGCAGAGGACATGTCGTGTATGGTTACACGACCTTGAAAACTTGAAATTGCCTGAACGAACCGATGAGCGCGTGTACACTGCTACACGCTTGAAATGACAATTAAGTCCACGCCTGATTTTCATTAAAATGACCCTAAAGCATGTAGAGAAATAACTGGAAATCGTCATTTGAAAGACATTTAGTTAAACTTGTACTAAAACATCTCGATTTCTCTGAGGTGAATTTGTAAATAAAGTCACTGGTTTTGTTCTTGTTGTTGGTAGAATTGTAACAGTAAATCGATCGATCTGCCAGGCGAGTATCAGTTCTGTATTGGAAGGTTATTTCAAGCGCGTGTTTTTGGTATATATCGTGGTTTAGTCATGTGTGCATAAGCAAGGCAACAGAACAGAACTTAGTGGTATGGGCAAGGAAACGAGATATTATTTCATTGTGACCGTGATTATTTTTCTTTTGTCTAAAAAGTGTCATTCTGCCCTAATCTTGGCTTTGTGTTTTCAATTACCTCTGAGAAGGTGTTCTACAGCTGTTTAATCGTAATCTTTGATTCATTAACATTTAGATTACATTAACGATGTAAGCTTCTTATCCTTTTAGTCTTGTCCAATATAATTAAAGTTAATTCAAGTTACACAATAGCTTTTTATTTCATCAGAGCAAAGTGAGCACTGAGAACTGGCCAACGCTCGGGGGATACCTTTGAAATCTTCAAGTAGTTTCACGTGCCCGACGAGCAGAAACTAATATTTTTGTTCCAGTTACACAATGTTGTTTCGTCCACAGGCTTTGCCTTAACTTTCAACTTTCTTTCTTTACTTCTCGTCTTTGGAAATGCCACAATGAAAATTTGAATGTAAATGTACTTATGTCGAGCTCCTTCCATCTTTGGAAGGAGAAGATTTTGAGAAGCAAGGCACAATTCTGATAGGGTATATTTTGGTTTTTGATTTTAGATATTGACACAGCAACTGCAGCCCTGAATCTGGTAAACGGTTATTTGTTTAAAGGCAAACCTGTAATTATTCAATATGGCAAACAAAGGAAGGATTCCTCTGACAAAAACGACAAGAACGTGGATACTCACGGAACGTCTTTCACGTAACCGCTGGTAAGCTGAATTCTCTATTCCTGGTGGAAATATTTTGAAATATTCTGATCCTTACAAGACAATTTTGGTAACTAAAAGTTGTGTGCCCATTTAAATATATATATAGCCTTGTGGCACTGTGTATTTTATAGCCTCGCTATTTTGCGATCATGCAATTAGTTTTTTAAAACACCTCAAGCAGCTATTTTTGAATCTAAAACAGCGTTTCGCCTCTGTAATTTTGCAGTTGGTAACTTGCTAAATTGCACTTTTTTAAATTAGAGGAGTTTGGGTTTTTAAGTGGCGCTGCATGTAACACTGGCATTGCTCCCCCGTATTTTCGCTCGACTCAACATAAGTCACAACTCTTTCTGAACAAAGTGTTACCTCTTATACTGATTATATAACGTGAAGGTTAATTCTCTACCTTCCTTTGAAATTCAATAGATTCAGTAAAATAATGTTTTTAACGTCTTCTCCAAGATCAGTGCACAAAACATAATGCCTTGCTCTGTCATACTTACATCAGAATTAGACATAGATAGAGATTAAATGCCAGCAAGAGGTACATCAGTTGTGATTTATCTGTTATTCTTCCTCGGTTATGCCTTCGTAATGAGCATTTCATTGATTAAATCTTCATTCCGTAGAGTCATTAGATCCCAACAAAACACCAAAACACTGCTTAGGTAGTTTCGTTTCTGAGGAAACCAAACCAGAAAAAATGTGAACACCAGAACCAGTGCATTAAATAAACCGAAGGACAGGATAACAGGAGTTCCTTAGCACTGAACGACTAGAAGCATTTTCTTCTTACTCTAAATGAGATATTTGTCTATTGCCGTATGCTTCGACTTTGTTACAAAGTCGTCATCAGGGTATTTCACATATTTTCTCTAGTTGTTGGTTAATAGGTCTAATTACTGAGTAAGGTCAAATGTAGTCAACCTAAGTTGATGAATCTCACCCAAGGGTGTTGCTTAATCGCTGTTTAATTGTGTTGTTTAATTGCATGCCATTTTGGTGACGGCAACACGGGTCCAATATATTTTGTAGGCGTTATAGCATTGTACAGCAGTACAAACCTTTTAATTAGTATTTTCAAAGGTTAAGTATGATGTTCACTCTTATAAAGCTCAAATCAAAACTGACTGTTCTGATTAGGAAGTAATTTCGCGATGTGATAGAGAATGTAGTAATCATGAAAGTCGTCTCGAATTAATTCTGAGTGTTCTCTCGTTTATCTTTTTCTTTTTTTGCGCGTAAGGGGCTCTCGAGTTATTTTGCAATGCGCTGATACATTAGGACATTTTGGTAGTCCTGTTAAAAAAATCATTGTTCACCGTAAATTGCATTGCCTGCAGAGTGGCGTTTGAAAGCATGTTTTTTTGTGGTTTAATATATTTATGAAGCTGTTTAATATATTTATGTAGTGGTTCCAAGGTCGTAGAAAAAAAGACATCAGAGCCCCAAAAAATTTAGACTTGCTCTTATTTCATTTATTTTCCGGCAGTCGTTTTCATTGTCCATGCATGCTGTACATAGCTGTCTCTGCTGGAGAGAATTTTGATAATTGTTTGTATATCCCGGGTATGTTGCAGCTGATTCTTCGGTTTTGGGCGGAAGAAAACCGTGCGTTACAATTCGTTCTTCCGAGTTCCACAGGCAAGATTTTGTCTAGTTCCCTGACTGATATCAAAATGTTTACTCTTTGTATCGAGTGGTTTCTTGTAAAGTGCTGATCTCATTATCTCGGGAGGTGCATTCAGTTTACACAATCTCTCTTTTAGTAACATAAAGAACGTCTTTGGGGCCGATGCTTAACCTTGTTAAGTAAATGTTTGGACGATTTGATCCTAAAACGATTTTAAAATGTCTTAGATATTTAGTCAGCAGTGAGCAGTAAAGCTCACCGCTGACTGTCAAACTTTTTCATTTGACCTCACAACCCTGTGCTTGTGTAACACATTAGATCACTCTTTATACCTTCAGGGCACTTATATTACAAAATTTCAAGAAAACCAGACTATAAAATGTAGTTTTCTGTCGATAAAGATATGTCTTGTAGGTTTTTGCTTTTTGAAGCCAGCTCGTGATAGAGCCCCTTTAACGAGTGACTGGCGCGCAACGTTGAAATTCCTTAAAACTATGTTTAGCTGTTGCCAAAATAAAAAAAAATAATAAATATATTGATGGTCGTTGCTGGGAGGTGACATATTTGCGGTGGCTTAACGACTTAAAAGGAAATACTAGCTTATCCTTGATGAGTTCTCTACAAGCACGGGTAACATCTCATTCGTTGTGAAACTAATACGCTAAACGAGATTTCCGGATTTGTCTCCTAAACACGACAACAAAGATTAAAAGCACTATATTCAACCCCAGGTTATGTAAAACACGCCCCTTTGTTCATGTTTCCTGATATATTTTTATAATTTCTTTTGTGGTCTTTCCTGATCTAAAACTGGTGTGAACCCATCCTTGTTTATTCGCTCTTCATTACCTTCCTGTTACCGTACTCCGGCAGAGCCCTTATATAGTCAACTACCACTCAAATGAGCTTCGTCACGGCTTCGCATCTTGAAACATTACACCTAAATTTTTTTTAAGTTCGTCGTTTATAATCCGTGTTGATCTTCTTCATCCTTAACCATCCTTGTTCTTTTATGGTTTATTATAATCTCTGCGGTGTTTTGCTATCCTAGTAAACAAATATTTTCTGGTTACCTTCGCCTTAAAGGTAGTTTTGAAAATGGCCAAAATAACTGAAAATGCCTTGACTGTGCTCCTTTGAAAGAAGGCTTGCAGATTTATGTAATCAAGCTGACATCAAACTCCGCGGGTCATGACATCTTAAAACGTGTAAAACCTGCGCCGTTTACCGAGGCCAACTAGGTATTGTTCTTAAGCCTTCTATTATAAAACAAAAAATGTTAAATGAATAAATCGGAAAAAAGACTTAAAAGTTTTGTTCTTCCGATAATGGCACCTGTGGAACACCTTTTCCTGCACACTGTGCTGAAACGGGAAACAACCTCGGCAGTTGGAGTAAAATTATTGCATGACCGAATTCACATTTGCTCCAAACATGAAGGATGTGACTTTTCTACCGTTAATTAAATTTATCATCTCGCTTGGGTTATCGTGGCAGGCCAGATTACGTTTCGTCTTGCATCTTTTTTTAATATGTTCTGACTGCACAACGCGTGGGGACAAAAGGGAATTGCTTCGACACAAAATAAAAGTAAATAAGTTTTTGCTTGTTCCTTGTTTTCCGCGAATTCAACTTGCAATTCACTGGCAGTCGAAGATTTAATTCTTATGTTAAGTCTGAAGAACTTAACTGGATATATAATAAAGATCTACTTTATTTCGGAGTTTCGTTCTAGAATTAATCTAAAGTAAAATTATTGGACAATCGTTTACAACCATTTCATTTTCACGGTGTTCTGTTTTAAAAAATAACCAACAACAACAGCAACAAAAACAGTTGTGCTAGGGAGGTTATTTAAGGAAACGTTCCTTCTCCAGAGTCTTTTATTAAGCGGAATTTAAAGTTGTTTCCTTAATTAAGGAATTGCCAGGTCGTCCCTGAGTTCTAATTCGTTTGACGAGTGTTCTAATCGTTTGACGTCAACGAAATTGTAAAATCTAATAAAACCAACTCGTCAACAAAACCGTTCTTTTTAGCATGTTCTTGATTTGATCGATCAACCTTCGTGCAAAATTTCATACGTATTCATTCCGTGAGTTTTTTAAAGGTATTATTCGTTTTTAAATAAAGTACTATAGACTGACTGACACTTTCACTTGTTTAATTTGACTATCAGAATGTCAATTTGTTTATTTTTGTTGTATTAGTTGCATGGGCTTAAAATAATTAAGTAGGATCAAAACAGCAACAAACGAAAGAATTAATGATACTAATAACAGAAAAATCGAGTATTTGTAACTATGATGTACCTAAGTTAGCATTGCCTTTAATTTGTCCTCCGTTATTGTTTGGTATGTCTGCGTCCTAACCAACATAAATTGTGTGAAAATTACCTTTGAGTAATTAAACAGTAAGAACAAAAAGAATCTGCGAGAAAGAGATGCTCATTCATAAAATTTGTGATGGTTTGAAGTGAGTTTACTACAGTCTTCCTGTTTCCTAATTGTTCTTAATTGTCCTTTGGCCAATACCCTGATCTTGATTTGCAGAATGCTCTTACATTTTTTTTTTTTTTTTTTTTTCATGATTCTGTGACCAGGTGAAAATTTGGCCAAGTTGCTGTTTAGTTGTTGTTGTTGTTTTTATTTCACGTATTCTTCAGTGCCTTTGAGTCGTTTTAGATGGAAGTAAGGGATATCACCAATGGTAGAAGCGGTTGACGCTCGAAGTCTCTCGAAATCTAAAAGAACGACCGCAATCTCGTTTAAGCCTTTGACGTTATGAGATCTTATGGCCTGCTGTGATCAATTTGCAAAATTACCCGTAGAAAATTGTTGGCACATTTTTGAACTATTCCTAAAGTCTCTGGCTTCTAAAATAGAAAACCTTAGTTATCAGATCGAGACTTCTGGCGACTACCCGACTCTTGAGTAAACGTGGCACGAAAACGAAGGAATGACGGAAAAAGAAGGGGATTCGAGAGAGAATTTTTACACTGAAGGTCTTTTTGTTCGGCAAAGTTATTTCCAGTGGACACTTGAAATTGTTTTCTGCTCAGTTTTTATCAAAGATTTTTGACTTAAAATATATCTGGCGTTTTAATTCGGTAGAACTTAAAGACAGAATATTTTAGTGCGGGTTTAGTTGATTCTCTTTAGTTGATTCTCTCAGTGATCATAATCTTAATCACTGCTAAGTAATATCATTTATGAGATTACTAGTGTGGCCATTTTCTCTGTAAGGTTTCTTCAAGCATCTGTTGTCTTTGATCTGTTCAGTGTGGGAAGGTCATAACTATGGTTTTTTTTATTATTATTATTATTACAACATATGTGATTTGAGTGGAATAATTCGCCTTCTCTCGTTT